TTAAATTTTTTAATTACTTTTTTAACCCAAAAGTTGGGTTAGTCCATATTTGACCCAAAGTTGGTTTGAAACAACCCAGCATTTTTTAGAGTGAATGCTCAAGTGAATGCTAATCAGCCATTTAAATGTAAAGCAGCAAGCTCATTGGCTGCATATGCAACATGAACCAATCAGCTTGTGACAAGTCGTTTAATGCTAAGAATATCATCAGTTATGTTAAGGATCCATCAGCCTGGGCCATCTAGAGTTTCATGACAGAACTTGGTATTCTCAAATTTAATTTAAATAATTTAGTAAACATATCTTCATAATTGATTTTATAACTAAACTTTCTCAAGACAAGGTAACCTTCACACAATTTTCTCTCTCTCCCACGCACACACAAACATTCTTAAAGTAATGTTAATGAAAAAAATGTGGAACCAATCCTAATGGGTTCAAATACAATCCTGATTAAACAGAAATAAATAAACAGACAAATACATTTGTGTATATTTTTACAAAAAGTATTGTGGTTATACAAGAGTACAGTGTACACACACACACACACACACACACACACAAGTACATAATATCTTATTGAGAGGCGCTTTCCTTTGATTGCAGTATATCAGATTACTGTTCCTCCTTGTGAACCTTGGTCTGAAGGATTCATGCCAACTGTATACGTGCGGCCCAGTGTCTCCTCACTGTCTGAATGAGTGCCAGCATGTTCCTACAGGGGGCAGTGGACAACAAAATACACATTCATAATCATCAAATGACATTTCTGCACATTTGATTGCAATCCCATACCATTTTTGCTTGCTTGGCAACTTGCAAAAATAGAGTGACTTGGCCATTCAGACCAGAAGTTTTCAATCTTTTAGATTGCTAAATCCTCATGCATGAGACCCCCATCCCAGAATTTAAAAAGAAGCTAAATATTTTCATGTACCCAGTTAAAAATAATATTATAAATATGTATAAAATATTACTTGGAGAATATTTCCTTATTACGTTGCATATTTTTACTGTTAGATGTATTGTTTTCTTTCTTTCTTACTTTCTTTTATTTTATTTTATATTCAAAGTGTTGATTTATTTACTTTAATCTTATTTTCTATCACCTTTTCAACGGACACCTTGGCAAATCCCTGATTTAGACCGATCACTTTTCTCCTAGAACTGAGAATTTAACTATTTATCCGATGCTTTTAACCTTATAGTGCACTTATTAGTCCATCCAGTAACATTCTTGCCCTGTGTATGCTGCTATACCATTAACATGAATGACATTACAAAACAATGCATTGAAAGTAGATCTGCCGTCTTTGTTAATGTTGATTAAAAAGAGCCTTTTGTTCTTCAATAACTGTGCAATAAACCGGCGTAATAACCAACTAAAGACAATTTTTCAATGGGATTATCAGCATGATAATGAGTAATAATAATAATAATAAATAAATAAAAAGTAGAAAATAAATCTAGTTTTGGTTAGACAGACTAGTAGATTAAGTTAATTTAAAAGGTTGCTTACAATTCAATTGAATGCAAAAACAATCAAAGTAATTGAATCTAAAGTCTTGTCACAAATAAAACAGAATCCGATTCATTTGAACAAATCGGCTCGTACGGACCCCCGTCGACCTGAACTAAAACCTGCAGCCTCCAAATCCTTACTAATTAGGCCACCTACTACTAAAAAAGGCATTAACATTTTAAGATCAGAGGTGTAAAGTATTTGAGTAGGCTAAATGTAATTAATTACTGTACCTGAGTATCTTTTTTGGATCCTCTGTTGTTTTACTGTATGTGTATCAAAGATATTAGCAACTTTGACTCTCTACTTCACTACATTTTTGAATGAGTATCTGTGCCCTTTACTCCACTATATGTGTGATGAGTGTTGCAGTTACACATTACATTTTGCATGGCACCTAGCTTTTCTCCAGCAGTTTATTTCTGCTACAAAAAAGTGATATCGCAACTACAGGGCACTGAAAGTACTATATCTTGTGCATTTGGCCCTTACTCACCCAAACTTGCCAACAAAGCTACTTTACATGAATGCGAGCTCCTAGTTGTGAGGTGTTTTATATATGAGATGAGGACATGACTGCAGCCGGCAATGAGGCCCAAACCAGCACATCCAGCGCAAGAAGACTTTGACTTTTTAATTGTATTTAACCTTATTTTATTTATCCGTCATACTGAAGAAACCTTTTTGAAGGATGTTTTTTTTTGTTGTTGCAATTTTGAAGTGTTCAGTTTTATTTTGGCTTTAGAACATAAACGTGATTGCTCTCCTCACAAATCAACTCTTTCTTGATTTTCACTGCCATGATGTCTCTTTGATTAGTGCATCTTTGAGCCTATATTCAGTATGAGTAAAATACTTAAGTACTGTTAATCAGCCTACTCTTTTTCTCAAGTTGTTTTGGAATCGGTGACTTATAACTTAATGGAGTAATAAGGTATCTGTACTTTTACTCAAGTATGGTTTCCAGGTACTCTTTACACCTTTACGCGAAAGCAGTAACACAATTTCACACTCGTCCCTCCTTCAGTGTGTGTGTGTGAATGAAAGGAGGCGGGGCCTATTTATCAGCTCTTGAACCCTTGGCCACACCCACGTGACTGACGTCAGAGGTTTGGCTCGAACTGGCGACGTGCGGAACGCAGACCGACACAAGCACGGAGGAGCGCAGCGCGCAAGCAGCGGGATGGAGCTTGCGCGGCACGATCCCAAACCCAGCCGTTTGTTTAACGGAGAAAGCGCGGATATTGCTGTGTGATGAAACGGACCCCGCTGCAGTTCGTTTGCAGTTGTTGAGGCTGACGCGTTGTGCGTGGAAGGACTGGATCTAAAGGGCCAGCAGCGCGCGAGCATGGACCGATGCGCTACGGTTCTGGATCCGGACCAGGATAAACAGTTTTGCGAGCTGTGTGGAAAGATGGAAAACCTTTTAAAGTGCGGTCGGTGCCGGATCTCTTTCTACTGCAGCAAGGAGCATCAGAAACAGCACTGGAAAAAACACAAACTCACCTGCAGAGAGGCTGACAAGACCAAGACTGTGCCACAAACTCCTCATCAGCTGGAGAAAACAACTGATCCAGACAGAAAAGAGCTGATCACTGGAAGCTCAGAAGCTGACAGCAGTACCACCAAACCCCAAACCCACAAACTGGCCACTGAGTATATAGTCCCATGCATGAACAAACATGGCATTTGTGTAGTGGACAACTTTCTGGGTGAAGACATCGGGCTGTCCATACTGGAGGACGTGAGAGCTCTCCAGCAGACTGGTAAATTCACTGATGGACAGCTGGTGAGTCAGAAAAGTGACTCTACTAAGGACATAAGGGGGGATCAAATCACTTGGATCGAGGGGAAGGAGCCTGGATGCGACAAGATCTGCTTCTTGATGAGTCGCATGGATGACCTGGTCAGGAATTGCAATGGAAAACTGGGAAACTACTCAATAAATGGAAGGACAAAAGTAAGTATAGGCGTCAGTCATATAGCGTGGATGATTTATTAACACCGGCTCATCATGTTGCATCATTGTTTTGAAGAACTGTGAGTGAGTATAACTGTCAGCAGTGTCAGATCGATCTGCTGATTTAAAGGGATAGTCCACAAAAACAAAACGAAGAAGCAAATTCTGTCACTATTTACAGACCCCTATGTCGTTCCCAAACTGCATGCAATTCTTTCTTATGCAAAACACAAAAGAAGATATTTTAAATAACCTTTGACTTCCATTGGATGTTTTGTCCACACAATGGAAGGAACCAACATTCTTCAAAATATCTTCTTGTGTCTTCCAAAGATGAAATACTCTTTAACCGCACACAAACGAATCAATGTTGTTATTTTGATTTTAAGGTGTTTTTTTTATTATTATTATATACAGTATCAGTCATCCTTTACGCATTCTTTATTATAAGAGTTTCCCCATTGTAGAATAATCACCAAACTATAAAACAACACAAATGGAATAATAGGGATTATGTAGAGACAAAAAAATGAAAAACTTTCTGATTCCAGCTTCATGAGGTGCATCCTGGGAACTGAAGGAGTTGACATGCATGCTTTTCCTTCTCTGTCTGCTTGCTTTCACACGCTTGCTTGCCTGCCTGATTAACAAAAGCCAGAATTTCAATGTTATTACATGAGTAAAGTGATGGATGCATGCTTTTGAACACACATTACATACATTTTAAATTATTTAATACAGCATTTTTTTTTTATTTGCTCACTCTCAAAACCCATATGACTTACTTTCTTCCATATAACACAAAAAAACATTGCATGTTTTCTATGCAATGAATGCATAGTGGCTGTCAAGCTCCAACAAGAACAAAAAACAGCATAAAAATGTCACAACACGTCTCGCTTGGTTGATTAAGGAAAGACAGAATTTCAGTGTTATCGGACTGATGTTGATCATTGTTGCTTGGCATTTGCTCACTCTCAAAACCCATATGACTTACTTTCTTCCATATAACACAAAAAAACATTGCATGTTTTCTATGCAATGAATGCATAGTGGCTGTCAAGCTCCAACAAGAACAAAAAACAGCATAAAAATGTCACAACACGTCTCGCTTGGTTGATTAAGGAAAGCCAGAATTTCAGTGTTATCGGACTGATGTTGATCATTGTTGCTTGGCTGATATATTAGATACTTTGTGACTTATATAGTTAATTTTGGATATAATTATTGTGAAAGCAATACTTGGAAACTATTTTGGTTAAATTTAGCGCATACTTTCCAGATTAAATGCATCCTTGCCAATTTTGTTTTCTGGTTTTGATGTGATTTATTCCTTTATTTTTGGGTTGGGTAGAAAAGTAATAGTTTCTGCAAAGAAAATTACAGTGAGTATTTATATTTAGATTCTGTGCCTTTAAGCGTTGAGCAACAGTTTCACTTTTTCTTTGCAAAAACTGCCTGCAACAGCACACATTAATCTCAAACAGCACAAACACTGGCAAGTGGCAAAGCCAAGGTCATGGGTTTGATTCCCAGGGAATGCACTGATAAAGCATGGATCTCGAATGCAATGCAAGTCTGCGTTAATTATATTTGGGTTGTTATTCCCTTGACCAGATGATATTAACACAGATGATTTGTGAACAAAGACAGTTTTCTTTGAAGTTTACTCTAACCCTATATTTGCCGTGACAGCCAGTGCAATTACCAAAATAATAAAAAAGATTATTACTCAGATAAGGCAGTTTTGCACAGGTTTCTGGGCTCTTAAAATGGTAAACACAAGCACTCAAAAGTCTAAACACAATTGACTGAATTGGTTTTTCATGGTCATAAAAACTTTCTAATGTAAGTGATTATGCTTAAATGCTTGAAATATGTTTTGTAGGCATATATTTATTTAGAAAAGAATGCTTTTTAATGCGGAAATTGAAGCAGATGAAAGAAAAGAGTGTACTTTATGTTGAAGTGCAAAAATAACTAAAACTAAAACCAAAACTGTAAAAAAAAAATAAATAAAAAAATAGGTTACTTAAAACGTGAACTAAAAAAAGAAAATAAATGTAGTTAATTTAACCGAAAATAAAATGTAAACATTTTTAAACTTATTTTATTTCAGTTATTTGCCAAAGCAACCTTTCTCATTTTTGTTTAGTTTAAATTGAAGTGCTAAATTAACTAAAGTAAACTAAAAGTAAAAAGTTGTAACTTAAAATAAAATGAAAGTCAACTGAAAATAAAATGTAAAAAATTTAAACTTATTTTATCTCAGTTATTTGCCAAAGCAGAGTGTCTCATTTTTGTTCAGTTTAAGTTGAAATGATAAAATTAAAAAAAATTAAATAAACCAAAACTATATAAAAATGACTATAAAAATAAAATACAAAAATGAGACTTATTTCACTTAGTTGTCAAGGCAGCATTTCTAATTTTTGTTTAGTTTTGTAGTTTTAGTTTTGTAGGTTGAAATAACAAACTAAAACTTAAAAACTTTTTACAAATATATTAATAAAAAGGTAATATAAAAATGTCAAAAACACAACAAAATTAATAAACCTTTAACTTAAATGAAAATGGATATTATAAAATCAAATTCAAAATATGACATTATAATGAATTATATCAGTATATCACTGATACTAAAATAACATGATCACATGATGATTCCCATACTTCACTCTCAGAAATAAAGCTGTCATCGGGGTGGTTCCTTCTCGAAAGGTAGACTTTTGCACCTTATTCACCCTAAAGGTACATATTAGCACCTTTTGAAAAGGTACCGCCCCAGTGACAGGTTTTGTACCTTTTTTCTGAGAGTGTAAATGTAGAGTTTGATGACTTCACTGTTATTCTAAATAGAGTAAGAGTGGGTGTTAAGGCCACATTTGCATTTGTATATCCCTGTTTTTTGTGCATGCAAGCCTCTTTCAGGCCTCAGCATAAGTTTCTCCTTGCGCGTGACCTCTGATCTCTCGGGTCGCCCTCCTTCTCACTGTCCCCGAGTCTGGGCCCATCCCGCCCCCGCTAGCTCACCCTCTCTTTCATATTCAAGGATTACAAATTATTATGCGAGTTACCTTGATGTTTAGCTCTCTCAGCCCTTCTGCAGTCCTTCAGTATAAGCCCACAATTAAATCTTGTTGTAACCAAGGTCTCATAGGTCTTGTTTTTTTACCCTTTTATTTAATTGAGCGAGTTAAGTCTCCATGCCTTTTGTCTAAAGCTTGATATTTAAAGAGCAAATATTTAGAGTTAAAGAGATTTTTACAAATCTGCCAAGCTCGGTAGCTTTGCCAAACCACACAGATTTCTAATCACATTTACTCTGCTCATTTCCTATGAAATATTAGTGCTTAACCAGAGTTATTTTAGTATTGAGATACTATTATAGTTTTTGTTTTAGTATTGTTGTGTTTTTGTCATTTACCATTTTTATTAAAAAATATTGATTTTTATTTCAGTTTTAGTACATCAAGTTAAACTAAATGAAAATGAAAAATATTTTCAATTTTTATTTAAATTTTAATTAGTTTTAGTATTTTTGTGTTTTTGTAATTTATAAAAAAAAAAATATTTATATTGTAATTTTTTATTAATGTTTATTGATTTTTATTTCAGTTTTAGTGAGTTTAGTACATCAAGTTAACTGAATTAAAATGAGAAATATTTTCCATTTTTATTTAAATTTTATTCAGTTTTAGTATTTTTGTGATTTATACAATTTTTTTATTAATATTTTAATTTGTAATTTTTTTTTATTGATTTTTATTTCAGTTTTAGTGAGTTTAGTACATCAGATTAACTGAATAAAAATGATAAATATTTTCCATTTTTATTTAAATTTTATTCAGTTTTAGTATTTTTGTGATTTATAAAAAATTTTTATTAATATTTTAATTTGTACAAAATTTTAATTGATTTTTATTTCAGTTTTAGTGAGTTTAGTACATCAGATTAACTGAATAAAAATGATAAATATTTTCCATTTTTATTTAAATTTTATTCAGTTTTAGTATTTTTGTGATTTATAAAAAATTTTTATTAATATTTTAATTTGTACAAAATTTTAATTGATTTTTATTTCAGTTTTAGTGAGTTTAGTACATCAGATTAACTGAATAAAAATGATAAATATTTTCAATTTTTATTTAAATTTTAGTCCGTTTTAGTATTTTTGTGATTTATAAAATTTTAATTAGTACATTTTTTTATTGATTTTTATTTCAGTTTTAGTGAGTTTAGTACATCAGGTTAACTGAATAAAAAAGAAATATTTTCCATTTTTGATTTAAATTTGACTTGGCTTTAGTATTTTTTTTTGTTTTTGAAATGTATACGTTTAATTAATATTTTATTTATTTATTTTATTTCAGTTTTAGTGATTTCAATATCACGTTAAACTAAAGAAAATTTTGAAACGTTGCATTGGCAACTATTTGAAATAAAATGTTTAATTTTTAAATATTTTATTTCAAGTAAAAAAAAAATACACAAAACACCTTTTTATGGTTTTACATTTAGTTAACTAATAAACCTGCTTAACCCGTGTTATTATGAACTATTAAACGGCTCATAACGACAACTTTCTAATTGTAGACAGATGGACATAAACACGACTGTTCATGTTTAACAGTTTCAGGCAGTTTTTGAAGGCTTGGAGAGTTAAACATAGAGTTTGTTTTTGACAATATGTTTTCATATCAAACTGTTTTATTTGAAAAGATCAATGAAAAAGAAATTTTTCTCATGGTAAAACATGCTAATGTTGGTCTAATTTTTTGCCTTGATTTCCAAGGGCGACACAATGACTAACTATTTTTGTGTCTCTCTTTCTGCTCTTTGACCATGAACGTTTCATCACATTACATGAGTCTGATATTGTACAGCATTTCTGAGCCAACGTCATGCATTTCATTACACTGCCAAAGGTCAAGCCGAAATACCGTACCAACCATGCAATGACTCGCACAACTCTCTCTCATACTTATGATGGATGTATA